TTTACTTATAGCCACTTCTAATTTAGAAAGCATTTGTCAGAAGAAACTGAAATTCATGTTTTGATTCACAGATGTCTGTCCAGGGGCTTAAAACCGCATTCAAGGCTTCAACTATAGTCAGTTAATACATTGTGGATGTTTTGAACGTGGGTGCCCTTTGACACTGCAGCTAAGTTTTACACAGTTAGATATCAGAATTAAAGAAAATAAAAAAGATGTGGTCAATTAATCTGAATTTTGACTATTACTAGTATTTTTAATTAAAAAATCCAAACAAGTCCAAAATGTTTAAAATTGTGGTTTATGCAGATTATTGACTACAAATTATTGAGCCTTCATGGTAACAGTACTAAGAACTTGTGCAGTTTCCTATGTAAGATTTTTCTTTGTATCACTTTTTCTTTACTCATTTTTATACCCAAGGGATAGATGAACAAATTTAATACATCTAAGCTCTTTCCTTATTCCTTAAAAACACCCGGAATCACTATATCAAAGAGAGTAAATAGCAACTAAAAGATTTCATTCAGTCAGGATTGTAAACTCTTTTTTACAGTGAAGAAAAATCATTACTATATTGAGGAGTACATTTAAAATAAATAGAACAGCCTTCTAGCCTGATCAGACAGATCGGTGAGAGACAGAAACTAGGAGAGGATATTCCCTTATCCATGCTGAAAATAAAGCACAATGTTAATGCAGCAAACTAATATCGCTTACATTTTTATGAAATGGGTTTCACTGGGTTACTCCTGCCTGTATTTAAGCTTAGACAACCCAAGGGTAAAAAATGAATGAGAAGTCCAAACAGTTTCTGTGTTGAATATATAAAATATACGCTAATGAAAGTTTTCACTCCCGTTATATATAGGTCAGAGACATATTACCATATTAGGAAGCCCAGATGGAGAATCTTCTGATGACAGCCTCGTGGATCTGGTAGGTATTGAAAGCTGTTCAATTGCAGAATTGCCAAAATACTGCTTTTAACATGTACAATTTTTTAAGGAGAAAGCCTTTTTGTGCTTCAGAAAGAAACAGTGTTTTACAAAATGGGCTTTTTCTAGAGAGTTGGTTTTTTTCCTCACAGAGACTTATTGAGTTTAAAGAGAACGTGCAGGAAATTTGCCAAGGCGGGGAGTATATTCAAGAGTGTGTATGATCTGTTTGGTTGCATTAGTTAATAAAAAATTGTGAGTTACTTAAAACATTCCTGTGTAGTAATAATATTTTTAGCAAAAATTCTTAAGACTGTTATATTTAGTCTTTTTGTACTAAAGCTACATTTGCAAATAAAATTTCATTTCATATGCCAGTGAAAATTATTGTTTGCACCCAGCAAATCTTTAATTAAGAGATTTTATTTCTACTTATTGCGGGGTTTTTCTCTGTAGAAAGATGAGGGTGTTAAATTAGAAGTAGGATACCATGTTTAATAATTAAAAAATGACTTCACTTCCCAAACTGTGGGGTTTCAAAATGCACACTTTCTCATTTCAGGCCGTTGGACTGGGTGCCAGGTTTATCAAGTTGGGAGGTCTTTCCCGCGGAGAAAGGGTGACCAAATACAACCGCCTTCTGGCTATAGAGGAAGAACTGGCCAAGAATAGAAATCTACGTATGAGCTTCTTTCTTACTTTGTTTTCAGCCTGCAATGAATACGGGAACAAAGATTGGAGGGAGAATGATTGAAACTGCACCACAGGAGGGAAGCGAAATCAAAAGCCTATAAATAAGGGCTGACAAAAAAAACCTAGGATAGCACTTGCCACAATGTATATTGTTGTCCTAATGGATTATCTGTTTACTGAATGTTAAAATAGACCCCTTCTTGAGGAGTAGCCTACATTAGGCTTTTTTTGCAGAATTAATTGGTTGAAATCTTGAAGCCCACAGTGCAAAAGGAACAAAACAAAACCCATGCATATAACATGTAGAAAAGCTGCCAAAATGGAATTTTAGGCCAAATACCCCACCTCACTCAAGCCCCTAAACATATATTGCTCACAACTCTCTTTTGTATGTTACATTTCCAGCAAAATGTGTTTGGAAAACTACAATTGCATGGGTAAGCCCTAAATAAAACCCCAAAAAACCCGAAGTTGACGATGCACATTCAGCCTTAGCCACTTGTATGCATCTGCCTGCCTGCATTTCAGGGTCTGCATCTTCTTTTTACACTGTACCACGGCACTGTTAAATGCTTAACAGTTCATTAGAGCCACTTCTCACTTGCTCAGGTATCAATCAAGCTAGAATAAAGAAATGCAGTCTGAAGGGGAGGCAGAGACACAAGGAGAGGAAGAAAGGAAGGATAGGGTTTGCAAGAATTTTATTAAGCCCAAGAAAAAGAAACATGAAGGAGAACGAAGTCATTTTACTCTCTTGCTTCTAATAATTTTCAGTGCTCTATACAAAGGGTAGCAGCACTTGACAAGCACACTACAGAACAAAGGTTTCAGTTGAAAGTTTTTTTATTGAAAATATTTTGAGGTTTTTGAAATCTCTCCCTTGCTCATAAATAATCGTTGTGAAAAACAGAAACATAGACAGGAATTTTTTTTTTTGCTAAGGAAGTATTTGCACAGAATGCACTTTTCTAAGTACAGAACTATGAATTTTAACTGCCTCAGCAATATTAATATATTCCCTACTGTTGTCAAGTGGTATAGTCTAAGCAAAGGAGCTCGAGTCTGACAAATATTTAGACCTATATCTCATGAATTAAAATAGCAACAATCCCCAACAGCGTTAATGGTTTGGCAGAACCAAAACCCGGTAAGTAAATCCCCAGCAGGGCAGTGGTGCGGTAGCGCGTTTGAGCCGCCCCCCGAGCTCTCCTTTGGCTGGGCTGCGGGCCGGGAACGCTGCAGAGTGTGCGGGACGGCTCCCAGGGCTCACACCCACCCGCCGGGAGACCCTCGGGAGTGCGGGGGGGCTGCAGTGCCCTGGAGCACCCACTGCGGCTCTCCCGCTGCCTTCCCTGCCCTGCAGTCCCGGGGGTGTGCAGAGCTCAGCCATGATGAGCCACCACCCTCACCTGATGGGTGTGCAGAGCTCAGCCATGATGAGCCACCACCCTCACCTGGATGGGTGTGCAGAGCTCAGCC